GGAGGGACGACGACCGGCGCGCGGCAGGAGTGGCGGCGGCAATGTGAGGAGGCGCATACAACAAATGGTGGCGGTTCACAGACGTCCGCCGTGCGGGCGAGCGTGCAATGGGGGCGGGGGGGGGGGGGGGGGGGGGGCGCGCGCGCGAAGGGGAGAAGCAGATCGAGGGCGTACACCAAGCAAAGTCCTTGATCACGCGCAGGGCGTCAACCTTGATGAACCAGTTGGCCACGACCAGGCCGGCGCCGAGGATCTGGCACCCGATGAAGGTGGCCCACCCGGCAGAGGTCACCGGGAGGGTCCAGTTGCCGAAGGCGATGAAGATCATGAAGAAGGAGGCAAAGTCCGACAGGAGGATGAGGTCGACGATGCCGCGGAACACGAGCCAGGCATTGTACTCGGTGGGCATGGACTGGGGACGCACACATGTGTACGTGTGTGTGTGTGTGTGTGTGTTTGTGTGAGTGTGTGTGTTTGTGTGAGTGTGAGTGTGTGTGTGTGTGTGAGTGAGTGAGTGAGTGGGGGGGTGGAGGGGGAGCCCGCGCGGGGGATGGGCGCGGAGTGTGAAGACACCCACACATCCACACACCCACACAATGTGTGTACGACGCACCTCGAAGTTGTAGGAGGCATCCATCTTCTTGGACAGCTGGTCCTTGACCCGGGCCACGAGACCGGGGTTGTTCTTGATAAAAGCATCATAGGCCCGGGTGAAGGACTGATGCTTCGACTGGCTGGACAGCAGAGCACCGAGGCCAAAGTTGTAGGCCATGCGCCAGAAGGCGAAGGACAGCAGGAAGATGTAGGAGGGGGCGCCAGAGAAGAAGGCGAGGAGCTGTCACGGATACAGGGAGAGACGTGCCAAGAGAGAGATGGATAGAGAGAGATGGCGAGGGGGGGGGGGGGGGGCTGGGCCGGCGGGGGGGGGGGGGGGGCGAGCGGAGACGCACGCGTCCGCGCGCACGCGTGCTGCCCGAGGCCCTCCGGGGGAATGTCCGGGGGATCCCGACCACGGCACCGTCCCAGATCGCCACACCGTGGCCGCCGCCTCGCCATGCTTCCCCCCCCGGCCCAGGCGGAGCACAGACCGGCAGAGGGCGGGGGGCGGGCGGGCGGAGAGCGGGTTCGCTCGCCGGCCTTGAACCGGGCACGCCGGTCCCCGGCGCGGTGGCCCTCGTGCTACAGCGCCCCATTTTCACGCCCGCTCCAATGGGCTGGGGCACTTGCGCCCGCGGGCAGATGTTCGCGCCCGACAGTCACACCCCATCTTGATGTTGGGGGGGGGAGGTTGTGTAAGGTCCGCGGCCGCGTGCCCGGCGCATGTGTGCAGCCGCACTCGCCGCACCCTTGGCACCAAGACACCGTTACGGGGAGATCGCCCCCCCCCCCCCCCCCCCCCCCCCC